AACAAGTAATCCAAGTGCAAATTAAATTAAATCATTATTATTTACAACTAAAACATATCAAAACCAAAGTTTTGGGAACTTGCGGCCTTAGCCGCGATGGAAGTGCATCAACGCCCTTGGCTTCTTTGTCAAGAGTTCAAGCTGCTAGTGCAGCAGTCTTGTATCTATTCCCCCATCCCCTAAATTTCCCACTGGTCAAAAAAAAAAAAAAAAAAACCAAAGTTTTGGAACCCAAAAGTTTGGCTTCATGAAGGGTTCATGAAAACACAAACCCAAATCTGGATTTTGAAACATGGAGATGTCAAAGTAGAAAGGACTTATTCAAATTCTCAGCCAAAACCTTGAATTTTTTGTAGCCTTCAAATGTTGAGTTAGGTTTGAAGGTCACTAACACATTGTTAGAAACTGAAAAGAAGGAGAAATATCTGAAGAAAGGTTTATTGCTTTCTTGAATTATACTGTATGTACATGACCTATATATAGGTGTTTACAAAGAGAATATTCTAAGGTATAAAGTATACAAAGAGAATATTCTAAAGTATAAAATATTTACAATAATTCTAAATATAATTATGTTCACATCTTAACATCTCCCCTCAAACTCAAGGTGGTTGTGATGAAACCAACTTGAGTTTGGAAAGAAGAGTACAAAAGCGTCTAGGAAAATGAGCCTTGGTAAAGAGATCTGCTGGTTGATCAGCAAAGCCAATGAAAACCAAATGAACAGTTCCTTGTGCAACATGATGGCGAATAAAGTGACAGTCAACCTCAATGTGTTTAGTGCGTTCATGAAAGACATCATTATGAGCAATCTGCATAGCACTTTGATTATCACAATATAAATCAGTAGAAGAAGGTTGAGGAATGCCTATATCTTCAAGAAGCCATCGCAATGAAAGAAGTTCTGATGTGGTATCCCCGAGAGCTCTATACTTAGCTTTAGTACTAGAGTGAGATGGAATAGCTTGTTTCTTACTCCGCCAAGAGATGAGAGAATTACCAAGGAAAAGACAGTAACCGGTGGTAGATCTACGATTAGAAGGATCACCGACCCAATCAGCATCAGAGTAAGCACGAAGCACAGGGGAGGAGTTGGCAGAAAAATGGAGTCCATGAAATAATGTTCCCTTAACATAGCGAATAATGTGAAGTACTGCTGCATAATGAGTAGAGTGAGGAGCAGCCATAAACTGACTAACAATGTGAACTGCATATGCTATATTAGGGCGTGTCGTAGTAAGATAAACTAGATTACCAACCAATTGCC